AAACGTTTTCCCGTTGGAATCGTTCTGTGCAACAGTCTAAAGTTAAATTCTGCCAATTTTCTCTCTGTTATATATTTTACTTTAGACTGTCAGGTATACCTCCAGTGTACCTCATTCTGTAAATTAAACCTTTGTTCCCATTTTAATTGTGAAATGGGTCTTACTCCAACGATATTTCTCAATATGTCGGAACATGTTTTAGATGACAAATTATTTATCAAAATGTTTTCCTTCTTTTTAGTATTAAATATAGTAATCAATTCCTCTACATTTGGATCTGTATACTCGATTTCATTATGTTTAGTTTCCATGATAGTAATCCACTGTTTTGGTATACATTGCTTAATTACCCAAAATTGACAGATCCAATTAATGCTTTTTAAAATTTTCTCATATACTGTCTTGGGGGTTAACATTACACTCTTACAGAATAGGTCTTTGATATATATTATACCTGCACTAACCCATTCTTTAAAATACAGGGATTTACCTTTATTTGTTATGTTTAAATTTCCCCAGATGACTTGGTTTCCTATTTCGATATCGATTCCAAGCTTCGATAGTTTCCTTATAAAATTGAGGTAGTTTTTTTTTTTATGTACTCAGTATTGGCATTTGCAAGGGTCATTCGGAAGATTAGATTGTTCTCACCATTTTTATTAAAGTAAAAAAATGGAATTGCTTTCCATTTGTCCGGGCTTTCATTAAGCAAGCGTTTTACCCAGACACTACTTAGACTGTCTCTTGTATTGTCAGGACTTAAGGATGAAAATTAATGACCATGGAACCTCCAAATGGCCAGAATTTGCACTGTCATACAATTTGAATATCATTTTGAATATCGTCTTTTTTCCCCATTTTTTTTTTAAATCTTGAACAATTCAGAGGGGACGAACTCTTGAATTACAATTTCACTATTCGCCATCATCATCATTGGAAATGAGGAAAACATGTTTATTTGTGATCTGATCTGTGGTATACAAGCGTGGGAGGGAGGAGGAGTATTTTTGGTGTGAATCACACCAAGGATAACCCACGAAGTCCGAAGTACACCGGGAGGCAATCCCCAACTCACATGGTCCATAATGTAAACGGGACTAACTGTGCTCTATCGTAGCTTGCATTTCAGCACTCCGACTGAAATACTAGGAGAGCAGTGATGGGAATTGAACCTGGGACCCAGAGATCTCAACGGTTCAGCGCAAAAATAGTGGCTACCATCAGTTTAGCCGACTAAGCAGCTCTGCTCTGCCACGTAATGTGAAGATGATTGATAGGTCTAACAGATTTCAAGTGTTTAGTGGAGAAATCAATGAGACCACCAGTTTACATTTTAAGGATTTTTGTTTTCGGTTAGTTTTTAGAATTTTTAAAATAAACATATTACAACCAAGAAAAAAAAAATGTGTATCGTCAAAATATATACTGGCCGCATTATAATTATGATACGACACTTTAAAAAACTTGTTTTTTTTATACAGGTCAATATCATGCATACTGCCAAATTTGATGATGCAGGGCCTAACCCATTTATTTTGTTTACATGCATATACCTCAGACAAAACCTTAAAAAACAAAAAAACAATGTAATCATTAAGCAAAAGAAAACTATATAGAATACAAGAGTAGAGTTGTATCCTGTAGTAAAGATGTTGCCTTATTATTTTCATGGTGATATGGTTTATTCCTGTTACAACAGAATGTGTTCTCAAAAATAAATAATTAAAAACTCCACTTATTAGATGGCTGAGCGGTTTTGGCACGGGTGGCGCAATCTACAGCCATTGGCGCTGGTTCGAACAGCACGCTCGCCTGGTTCTGGTGGTGGAAGAAGTCTTCTCAGATAAGGACTATAAACCCAGAGTACACAATGCTCGTGTGCACTATAAAAAGAAGCCCAGTACATCTTTTAAAACGTGTATGGGGTTACAGATGAGAGATGGTACCGGTTTACTAGGTAGCTCTGACACGAAGGTAGCATTGGAGGAGAGGAAAGTTACTGTGCCAGCTAGTCCACATCCCGAGCGCTTTGAGACTCAATAAAGCGCTGTATAAATTGAACCACATTAAATTACATTCACATTACATTATTATGCGTCATAAAGGAAGCATTAGTACCATAATAAAGACAATGACGGAAATAAATTATCTTTATTATGGTACTAATACTTCCTTTATGACGCATTAGTACCATAATAAAGACAATGACGGAAATAAATTATCGTTTTTAACTCATCGCAGTGAATTAAATTCTCAGCACCCACGGGATACTGATAGTTGAGTGTTGGCCCTATATCCAGTCATGACGCCCTAGTTTGTAGCCATTCCATCAGAACAGTTTCACAAATTAGCTACAAAAAATAAAACTTCTATGGTCAAACGCCAGGTTGAGGAGAGTAATACACTATATTTCAATGCATAATGTTTCGTGTGTCAAAAATGTTCAATATTATACAAAGCTGATAACATTTATAACTTGTGGAACGTAACTTACAGCTATGGTCATTAAAAAACATTATTGTTGATTCAGTATTATTGTTATTATTATTGTAAAGAATTGCCGCAAAACACTGAACAAATGATGCAGGAAACTGATCCGTTAAAGTTCTATGACGTTTATTACGATAAAGTATCCGATGGTAACCTTTATCATTTATCGTAACATCTCATTCAATTCTGTAATCAAATAACCATTAAACACATTAGAAACTTCTTGAAAACATTATTATGAACCATTCAATACAATACAATGGAACTATGCAACAAATGGCTGGTCGAGAATAAGTTATCGATGCATCCACATAAAATGGAGTGCATTATTTTCGGATCTAAAAGGAAAATAAACACTATTCAAGATTTCAACATAAATTATAATGGACAGATCATACATAGCCGAGATTCCATTAAGTACCTTGGTTTACATATTGATAATTGTGTCTCAAATGATGAATATGTTAATACTATAATTAAGAAAGCTAACTCCAGATTAAAATTCATGTACAGGCAGGCTAGCTGCTTGGACAGGCAAAGTCGTAAACTTTTATGCTCTGCCCTAATCCAATGTATTTTCGAATATGCTGCCTCTGCCTGGTATGTTGGCATAAGTGTTTCTCTAAAAAATAAACTACAAGTAACTCAAAATAAGATCGTAAGGTTTATTCTGGACCTCGCCCCAAGAGCACATATCGGACAGAAAGAACTTTCCTTACTTGGATATCTTAATATAAGTGATAGGGTTAAATTTCTTAGGCTGGTTCATGCTTTTAAAATTTTCAATAATATGGATGCTCCTTATTTAGCTGATAATTTTATAAAGATTTCTCAACAACATTGTTATAGAACTAGAATTTCCAATGACAATTTTGTAATTCCAAATATTAAAGGCCTAGCTTCAAAAACGTTTTATTACAATACTATCAAAGACTGGAATGGTCTACCATCAAACATTAAGTGTATTAACAAACTAAACGAATTTAAACGTGCGGTAAAGATTCGCCTTGGAAATGTGCATAAACCATGATTTGTTTCTTGTTTTTTTTTTTTTTTATGAACTTACTTGATTGTTTATGGGACCCCATTGGAATTAAGCTGTTTTTCAGCTTTATTGGGTTATCCTGGTACTTTATCATTGTTCTTTGTTCTTTGTGAATTTTTGAGTACCGAATAAACAAACAAAACAAAACAAAGCCTTACATAATACGGTTTGCCTGCAATGAATGAAGACTTTAACTACTTTGCCGTGTTTCCTACAAACAGGTTAGCATACTGTGTGATCAGTCAATTACCAGTCAACATCCGATCACCTCCTGAACAGGTTAGCATTTAATCCGTTGGTTAGGATTCTAACCAATAACTTTAGAAACGGTCGAATGTACCGTTTGCTCCTGTTATTACACATACACAATCCTCATAGCAACACGATCATTAGCAACACGATCACAACTGGGCATTTCGCTGTGCGCCACCTATTTTCACTTACAAAACTCTACAGAAACGCAACCGTTTCTACACTCCCCCACAAATGAGTATATCTCATTTCTCTTGTTAAACTCTTTTTATTTTTATTTTTATTATTTTTATTTTATTTTATTTATTTTTTACCAACTTTAACAACTTTAGAACAATGTAACCTATGCAATGAACTACTTCTTTATTATACAGGAGCAGTAATCTTGACAAGAATATAACCCTCAATTTACTCCCACTGTTCTAACTTTATGAGCTTTACCACAGGACGTTTGTATATTTTGTCATTTACGCACACATCTACCACTCTTACCCTGTTATCAACACTTGGGTACTCTTTCACTATTTTCCCAACTTGCTAGTCACCTCTTGGCAACTGGTTGTTAATCACTAAAACTGTATCACCCCTTTTTAGATTTTTACACTCCCTTAGCCATTTACCCCTAATTTGCAAACTAGGCAGATACTCTGAGGTGAACTTCTTCCAGAACAAGTCCGATATGAATTGGCTATGCTTCCATTGCCTTCTGCTTCTTACTTCCTCTCTTGGGCTGAATGCCACTGACGGCAATGCTGGATCTCTTCTCCCCATGAGAAGAAGGTTGGGTGTTACAGGGTTGCTATCCGGAACATCTGATGAGACATATCCTAATGGCTTTGAGTTTAATAGCCCTTCAATCTCCGTCACTACAGTTTGAAGTACTACTTCGGTTACTATTCTATCCTTCAAACAGCATTTTATTGCGTTTTTCACTGACTTGATTTCCCTCTCCCATATTCCTCCGAAATGTGGTGCTTCGGGTGGATTACAATTAAACTTTACTCTCTGACTGGCCAATTTGGATTGCAGTTCGACACTCATTAACCGGAAACAGTCGTTTAACTCACGCTCTGCCCCTTTAAAGTTTGTTCCACAATCTGAATATAATTCAGCTGGAGTTCCCTTTCTAGCTATGAACCTTCTAAATGCCATAAGAAATCCATCGCTGTTCATACTACTTACTTCAAGATGGACAGCCTTAGTTGTCATACATTTAAAGATGACCCCCCCCCCATCTTTTCTCTCTGGATATGCGAACTTTAATCATCATAGGGCTCCAGCAGTCCATTCCAGTGGAGTAAAATGGAGGCAATCCGATTCTTGTTCTTGCCTCTGGAATGTCTGCCATTTTTGGTACAGCTGGACTTTTTCTCCACATTTGACAACTAACACATGTCCTGAGTATCGACTTGATTTTACAACGCCCTTTCAATATCCAGTAACGTCGTCTTATATAACTGAATACTTGCTCCACTCCTGCACCATGGTTAAAAACATTACTGTCTATTCTCTTTATGAGCAACTGTGTAATCTGATGACTCGGGTCCAGTACAACTGGGTGCACCTCCATCTCCAGTTGATCATTTCTCTTTAATCGACCTCCTACTTGGATGAGCTCTGATTCCATATCGAATTGTGGGTCGAGATTTACCAGTTTGCTGCTCTTTGCTACGCTTTTACCACCATTCTTTAGTACTTCATACTCTTCTGCAAAACAGTCTTTCTGCACTCTCTTTAACAGTAAGAGTTCAATTTCTCTTACCTTTTCGGCATTCAAAGCTTCTGACTGTTTGCCGTATATTCTTTGTCGATAGAGTTCTAACATTTCTTCCCAAGTCTTGCATTCCACAATATCAACTTCTCCTGGGTTCACAACAACATTCCCGTTAAATGCCATCCTTCTTTCTTCTGTATCCTCGGTGTCATTATCTGACTTCTCTTGAGGCCACTCACTTATCGGCTTACTTATAAATTCAGGTCCATTTATCCACCTATCAGTTAATTTGTCCGCTCTCATTCCTCTGGACAAGTCGTCGGCAGGATTTAATATTCCTGGAACATGTCTCCAATTTGCTATCTGCGTCTTGCGTTGAATCTCAGAAACTCGAGCTGCAACAAATTGTTTAAAGCATTGAGCTGGTCGTCTTATCCACTCCAGCACGATCATGCTGTCTGTCATTAAAATCTGGTTACTGAATTTGAAAGTAGACTCTTTAACTACTGCATCTGCTAGTCTCGCTCCCATAACTGCCGCCTGTAGCTCTAATAGCGGTACCGTTAATTTCTTCAATGGGGCTACACGTGATTTGGCTGTTATCAGTCTTGATTCAAATGATCCGCTTTCTAATCTCCACCTAGCATATGCACAGGCTCCAAACGCTTTCTCACTTGCATCACTAAATATTACTAATACAACTTCATTGGATGCCTTAGATGGAGTAAGACATCTGGGAAATGCTACTTATTCGATCCCTTTAAACTCCTTGAATAGATCTTTCCACTCCTGCTCTACCTTCTTTGGTAATGGGTCATCCCAATCAATTCCACTTTCCCATAGTTCTTGCATTTTGATCTTTGCACTTATGGTTACCGGTGTGATGAGCCCAATGGGGTCAAATACTCTTGCTATTACTCCCAATAAATTCTTTTAGTCAGTGTTTCTATGTTGATGTTGACATCAAAGGTGAATATATCCTCCTGAGGTCTCCATCGCATACCTAATACCCTTTGTCTTGCTTGATATCTATTCCATGTACTTGCTTGTTCGAGGTCCAACCTTTGACAGAGAAACCGCCACTACCAACTTAGTACCTTTTCTACGTCATGGATTATCTTGCTTGCCTCCTCCTTAGTTCTGACAGATGGGCAAATATCGTCCATATAAGTGTCCCTTTTAAGGATCGTTCCTGCTTCTGGATACTCTATTTCATTTTCCCTTGCTGTCAATCTTAAAGCGGTCTGTGCCATGGTAGTGGCTGGCTGGTCTCCAAACGTTAGTCTTAGCTTTATATACACATCAGGAGCTCGGTAAATTTCAAGATTTCTCCATAGATATCTATGGACGTGTTGATCTCATTCCGGAATCGCCACCTGGTGGTACATTTTGGATATGTTGGCACACAGGGCCACTTCATTTTCTCTGAATCGCAAAAGAACTCCCAGTAAGTTATTTAGCAAGTCCGGTCCCTTGACCCAATAGTCATTGATGGCCTCTCCTTCATACCTATTAGACGAATTGAACACAATTCTCACTGGCGTGGTTTTGCTGTCCGGACGAACTATTGATTGATGCGGTATGTAATGCACAGGTCCAGGGTAGTTGTTGACTTCGGACTCCTCTAATTTTCTTGCAAACCCCATTGTTACCATTTCCTCCATTTTTCTCTCATATGCTGCTGCCTGATCAGGGCTCTTTAACAACCTTCTTTCTAGGCTTCTCAACATTCTCTCTGCTTGTGCTTTGTTATCTTTAAGTTCATAAGGATTCTTAATCCATGGATACGGTACTGTCCACTTGTTATCTACTTTAGTACACGAGTCTTCAATCAGTTTTCCCTCAATTTCTTCATTAGCTAACTGGGCTTTCTTGCAATCACATTGTTCAATATCCACTTCCAAACTTTCCAGAGTCAAAAATTGTGTAAGGTCTACAGGAGTATGAATTATGACATTCATCACTTGATGGTTATTACTTGAATCATTCCTATTCCCTCCAAATACAGTCCATCCTAATAGGGAATTTTGTACTACCATGCCATCCTTTTCCTTCATTTTCCTACATGTAGTGTTGGGTAATTAACACCTATCAAAATATCTACTTCCCCACCCCTTCGTTTCAACACATGTGGCTCCAGCTGGAACTGATCTTCAATTTGTCGCATATCCGCTTCTGCTACTTCACTTACAGTGTTCACTGTTTTCAAGGCGACTGCTTTAATTTCATGAGACCCTCCGGTGCCTTCCAATTGAACCTTAAATATTCTGGTTTCACACTCTGTTTCTTTCCCACCTATGGTTGTTAATGTTGCGGTTACTCGTTTACCTCTGGCTTGCAATTCTTCTACAAAGCCTTTTCTGATGAAAGTTCCCTGAGATCCATTATCTAGCATGACATTTGCCTTTTTCCATTTCTTTCCGATTGATACTCCTACTTCGACAACTCTTAATAATGGTTGATCATAGATACCCTTTGAGCAGTTTACCAAGTTCACCGTTCCTGTATCCCTTTCAGGATGTAACAAGGGAGGATGGTACTTGTCACATTGCTTATCGTTCACCCTTTTGGAGCACGGTTTCTCCTTCTACAGTTAGATATGCTGTGATTTCTGGCGGCTACCTTTAAACAGGCATAGCATACAGTACATGATTGGTTTTCGCAAGCTCAAACCTTTCTTTATATATATCTTATATTATACCAGTATTTCTGCCCACAAAAGATCTTAATTTGCCACACGACTTTATTATTGTGAATGATGAACAAGCGTGTAAAGATAAGGATTTTTTGGCAGATTCGCGTCGCTTTTGAGGTACTTAAAGTAAAGTAAGTAAATACATAAAAGAAAATGCTTTCATGCTTTATTTTCTATGATACACACAGTCTAGACCTAATACATTTTAGAAAGATCTCTGTGATTGCCGAAAATCGCTGTGTTTAGTGCTGATTCTATGTTTTCTGCATTCATTCTCATACTCTTTAGCAATCAAATTCAATAGTGTTTTTTCAGTCCAACTATTTTAATTGCTTTCTTGAAAAATAATTAGTTCCTACTCTAATACACATTTTAAAATATTCCGTATTTTACGATGCCATGAAGTGTTATTAAAAGTCTCTGATGAAAAACCATGTGAAATTGTTGGAGCTTCATTATTTTCTTTAAAAAATGCGACCCTCAGGGCCAACCTTGTTGGGCTGAGTTGGGTGTGCACTCATGAATGTCCCCTCCCCACCCTTCAAAACTGATATGCGCCCTTGCCGCAATGGTATAGTAGGCCTATAGCATTTATCACACAGGCATTTCGTTCAATATTGTTATTCATTCCAACCATGTTCATTGAATTAATAGAATTATCACTTTGTAAAACATTTTTGTTATAAAGGATACACATACACAAAATAAACTGACTACCGTAAAACTGATAGAAACCTTGGTTAGCTAGTGATTTTGATTTTAACGGCGTGTTACAATAGAGCATGAGTTACTTTTAGAGTACTGGGTCACTATTATTAAGCATAAATTTGGCATTGGAAAAGAAAACAAAATCAAGCTTCTTGTGTCGATAAATTCCCTAAATAACTATACTGATAGTATCTGTTGATTTTTTATTATTATAAAGTTATTATTAAAAACACATCGGATAGTCAGTCTTACTTATACATACTGTAGACAGGGCAACCAAAAGCAGGGGTTAGTGGACCTATTAATAATAGGCCTAAACTATTTTAATTAACAAAATTTCCAGATTCAATTGTTATAATAAACGGTCAGTGGCCACCTCAATAATATGGTTTTAGAGGGGTAATTATGGATACTGGTTCCTTTGGAACTAGGACCCCTGTTTCACAACTCTGTTGAGTGATTATTTTACTTTTATAATTGTATAGGTGCAGGCGCGGATCCAGCGGGGACCATGAGGGCTTGTGCCCCCTACCACCGTCAGTCAAGCCGAAAAATAAAAAAGAGGGTGACAAATTGAAATTAAGGAGAGGAAATAGCAAATAAAAGGAGTGCACCCATAAGTTCAGTGGCGATCCAACAGTGGGCGAAAGGAGAGTTCCATCATTTACCACTTATTTTCACCTACCATGGTGGGGCTGAGGTGGGTGTGGCGACGTGAACTTCATATTGTTCCCCCGCCCCCAGCCAACTGAATCCGCCCCTGAAGTAAACTATTGCATGTATGTTTTAAACATTTAATTTTGAATGAATATATCTGAATAGTTAATAACATTCAATCTTATTTTGACAATTCAAAATTTGACTGCGGAGTTCTTCATTGAATAGTTACTTGTATCCTAATCAAGAAACTAAGAAACATCCTAATACATAAAATTATTGAAAACAGTGTCACGATGCAGGACTAAGCAGTTCAAAAGAGTATATTTCCAATGGCAATAGTGGTTTGCAACACACTCTCTCTCTCTCCCACTCTCTCTCCCTCCCCTCCCTTTCTCTCATGTGATTGTTTTCCCTCTGACTACATTTGTACCTGTCCTGAATGTCCTGGTCTAGTAATGGAGTTGAGTTGAATAAATTCTCTTAGCGGCACGCTTAACACACACACTAACTTAAAACGTTGGGGCAAACTCACCTCCGGTTTAAAGGCATGTGGAAATCGCAAAACTTTACACCACGTCCTTAACAACTGTAAACAGTCCCTGGACCAAGGCCGTCTCACGTGCAGACATAATAATATTTTAAATTATATTGTTAATATTTTCTAGGAAATTTAACAAGTATGCACCTCTGATTAGGAACATTAGTGACTCCGGCTATGATGTCCAGTTGATTTGTTTTGAGGTGCGTTCTAGTGGATATATTTCTCCCCGCAATATAAAAACAATTAAAACAATTTTGAAAAAGTGCAATAACCCAATTAATTTTAAAAAAATCTGCGACAATATTTCTAAACTTGCCATAATTTCTTCCTTTAGTATATATTACGCGAAAAACAACCATCCTGAATTAATTCTCCATATCTTATAACTGACTAAATAAGATTGTTATAAGTTTTATTATTTTTTAAATTACTGGTTTGATCTAGGATTGTATTATGCGTTTTCCTTATTGTTGTTTGCAATAAAGTGATATTATAAAAAAAAAAAAAAACAAGATCCCATTATTCAAGATTTCTTTATTTGTGTCCACTTGGAAAATCAGTTGGTACATCACAACGCAAAACAGAGTGCAAGATAATGGATTATTACAACGAACAACAATGCCCTAAAACGTATCGGTATTTGATATTGTTGTTAGGAATTCTAATGGATAGTGGTAGGAATTAGTTGAGATATCTATTTGCTCCACAGGTTTGTGATTTTAACCTTTTATTCGAGGGTAATCAAATAAAAGATTCGTTTAGTCGTTGGGAACTAAATTACCGAAATAGGCTAGACCTAGGCCTAGCTTACATAACGCATCGGCCGCCAAGCCTGATTGTTGTGCACACGTTATTGCTGACGGACAGCCTCACCAAATATCAATCAAAACTCGTGTTTTATCTTGTTTGTTGGTAAAATGTACAAGAGAATGAAAACACAATAAGACATGTACATACATCGTTGCATACTAAAAAATCATTTTCGGAATCCGAATCCGCGAAGATTTCTGAAATGACCTCCTCTTAAACTGAAAACAGGCGAGTGTGATTCAATTTTTCGTCGCGTTACTCGTATCCAGGAGAAGTGTAAACAAACACGTCACGCTAACGATGTTGGGGGTGGGGTTTCAAAAGTGAAAACAATATACGGCCCAGAACGAATTTATTGCAGAAATTTCTACCACCTGTCTCTTATACACATCTAGATGTGTATAAGAGACAGTATATATATTATAGTCTTTAGGACGCTTCCAATCACATGGTCCTTTGTATAATTTCTGTCACGGTAACATAATTTTTTTTTCTCACAAAGAACAATACAACTCCACTCTCTAAGCCTTTTATTGATGTGGAGCATCTTGTGTTTATGTTTGTCTTGTGAAGGGTTAAGCTACTTACATTAGCGTTTATGTTCACTGCTTGGCATAGCCTTTAGAACCAATTTATAATATCCAAAATTCAATATTTCTTTATTTTTTTCTGTAGCCTATGACTAGAGAGGTCATGAGTCTTTCATGCGGCAATTATCTTTTTAAATGCTAACCGTTTCCCTACTCCTGACAAAAAAAAAGGGAAAAAAGGGTAGAGAGAAAAATAAACCCATCAAAATAAAATTTAAACTAAACTGTGGAATAAGACAGCGGGCTTACATGGAAAAAGCATATCAACGAAACTGAGAATAAAATTTCAAAAAATCTTGGTATTATTTTTAGATTATCCCAATTTGATATTTGCAATATCGTTTGGGGCAATACCTATTTAACCAACATTAACAAACTCCACATTCTCCAAAAAAAGCTATTAGACTCATATCTTGCGCTCCACCACTGTTTCATTCCTCTCCATTGTTTTCCAATTTAAACCTTCTCAAACTCACTGACATTAACCGAATTCAACAAGGTACTTTTTTATACTCAGCCATTAATTCTATTCTCCCTAATCATCTTAGTAAAATGTTTACCCTAAATTACTCCATACATGATTATCATACTCGATCTAGAAATGACATTCACATACTTAATCATAACACTAACTATTTTCAACACAATATTAGATACACTGGCCCTATTCTCTGGAATAATCTACCACTCTCAATATTAAACTCAGTATCCGTTACATCCTTTACAAAAAAACTGAGGATTCACCTTGTTTCTCAATACTAAATTTTTTTTCTTAACGATCACGACTCGACTTGCTGCTCCTTGAAACTGCCTGTTCTGTTGTCTTGTTTGTATGCGTTTGTGCCGTGTGTTTGTTTGTTTGTCTGGGTCTCTGTGTGTTCTTGTGAGTCTGTGTCCAGGCCTGCCCATCACAAGATTTTTTTTTCAAATCTTCTCGGGCTTGTGCCTTCTTCCTTTTGAATTTTTTCCTCATAAACCGATTTTTTGTATTTTTCTGTATGATTGCAATTGGAAGTTAATAAATGTCTTTTGAATTTTGAAATTTTGAGAAAACGATTGAAGAACTCTACCTTGGAGAATATTGTCTGGAAGATCTGAATAAAAATTAGTTTATTGTCTATCAGCCCAATAAAATAAACATAAAATAATAAAATACACAGTGACAACGTCTGCTGTCCGTCGGTGTGCAGAGACCGTCATTTAGATATACCATTAAATACATTGTCCACCCCATCCCCCTCATCTGTGAAGTGGAGTTATTTTTAATTTACCTGTTTTTAATTTACCTAAAGATATTATTTATTTGTTTTATATTTTTATTATATTTTTTTTAGTGAAAACTGTATTCTTTATTCACATGGATCTGATTAAATCATTATCGAGGGTGCACTTTCACTATCCCTAAAATGCCACGAAGAACAGGGTGAAAGACACTTGTTCTTGACACAGAGTTGACTAGGACAGAATTGATGAGGCTTACACTGTGTGTACACAGAACAATAGTACATAACAAGCAGCAACATAACATCATAACACTAGCAGAACAGTGTGGGCACGGTGTGAACGATGATAAGGATTGCATAGGTCCTCTACCCATGATCATTATAATTATCATCACATAATATCAATAATAGGCCTAATTTGTTATCTAGTTAATACAACGCATTTAAAAAAATGAATTCTTTATTGCCCGAAAACAAGCATTATGGAGGATTCGATACGATTTGTTAACTTAACAATATGCAATACATGTTTACTTGGACACCTGGGAGGAAGGTGCATGTTTGCAAAATAAGAATAATTTACTTGCAAATAAAATATTTACTATTTATTAGGCAATGACCTGTCTCTTATACACTGTTACTATCAATTACTCCTGTCTCTTATACACATCTAGATGTGTATAAGAGACAGATATTAAGCAAAACGTGCAAGTTATTTAGCCCTAAAATGTGTTTTAGTATTTGATTTCATGGTTAATGTATTCAAATAGACAAATAATGTCTCTTCCAGTGTAGCACACATTTTTTCTATAAATATTGATTTTTGCGCTCTAAATGTCAGTTATGCCCTTTTGCCATGGGTTTTTTGATTCAAGACATGTTGAGAAACTTTGGCAAAAGGATATAAGTACCCAGTTTAGTTCCTTTCAACGCAATTTTGAGTCAAATTTTTTCAAAAATAACATTCAATATATAATTTCATATGTTAGTCATGTATAAACTACAAAATAAATGTACAATAATACCAAAGGAACGCATTAAATAATAAATACTAAAATTACAAACGATTAAAAACCCATGTATAGGCTAACCAAGTATACAAACAAGAAAATGAATTAACATTAGTATGCTATTATGTATCAACAAAGGCTTTTTGGCTCAAGGTGCTAGATCGAGGACCCTTTGGGTAGGAGGACTTATTGACCCCTAGGGGTCTGGGGCCCCGCAGAAGAGCGCATAGGCGTTACGTCACTGCGTGAAGGATGTATGCGTATGCGTATATGAAATAGAACTGCTGTTTAGTTAGAATGCGCATGTGACTGTTTCTATGTGTACGTTAAACAAGTAAAATACTAAATTTATATTTTAAGTCATGTAATTACAATATAAATTAGGCCTATTATTATTATTATTTATTATTATTATTATTATTAATATTATTATTATTATTATTAACAATTCTTCTCTATGATCTAAATTCAAGTAATAATGAAATGATTACGAATATTATTGTTTTTTTTTATATTCTAATAAAATGTTTAGAAAATGTATTATATATATATAGATTTAGATGGAAATGTAAGTTTTTGTTTGCTTAGTGAACACAGTTGATTCGAGTAAACTGTGCATTTATACCTTTTTGTCATGCCATTTGCTATAAATAAATGTTGTAGTTGTGCCTCTTTGCCATAGTTATTTGCTAAATAATCGTCTTAGTTGTCCCTCTTTGTTACTGTTATTTCTAGTTAAAATGTGAATTGTTATTCTGCCATGGTTAATTATTTTTATTAAACAGTTACTATTTTCCTATAGTTTATTTCCATAGTAGTAAACTGTTGCCATTCAAAGTATAAAGGCAAGATTATATAGCATAAATTAACTAGGCTTATCATGTTTGCCTAACATTAACTAGACATATGCTACTGTCAAAAATCATACTATTTAATCAATTTCTATTTACAAATTGTGAGTATACAAACAGTAAGAATAATAAAAATAATACAACTTAACATGCAACCTTCCTTTTAACCTAAATAAATATATAATAAATATTTGCTATATATAAATGAATATAGAATAATTATATATATAAAAATATATATAAATATACAAATAAATATAAAAATATATAAATAAATATATAAATAAATACAGTATATATAATATATATATATATAAATCTGTATATATATATATATATAATTTTATATATATATATATATATATATATATATATATATATATATATATACTATTTAAATACATCTAAAATGCCACAGATTGAGGCTCTTCCTCTTTCATCCGCTACAGCACTTACCTCCACAAATGCAGGACTAATCACATTGATAGTGGCTCATCACAGGTTGCTTATCACAAACTGACCAATGTAGAATCCTCAGACGGCGTCTAACAAACACGCAGCGTTTCAACCCTTAACCGTAACGCCTTCTTGTTGGTGGGTCAGTAGTGTTGGCCAAACACTACTTCTCTACTTTGGTCTCCAGTTCATATCCTCTCGTTTTATCCACAACCAGCAGGATGCCTTCTTCGCTTCTTCTCCTAGTTTTTTTTTTTTTACTGCTCGCTGTCTTTCCTTTCCTGATAACCCGATGGCAGTAAAGAACTTCCAAACTGATTGCGCTGGGAACCCTCTGCAACCGACCTCAATCTGGTACAGGCATGTTTGCCATCCCTTCTTTTTGCAGCTGTCCAGGAGGTCCTGATATTTGGCCCTCTTCCTCTCAGATGCCATCTCGCATTTCTCTTCCCAAGGGACTGTGAGCGCCACCATTATTAACTTCTTTGATTCAGTAGACCACAGAACTGCGTCCGGTCTTAATGTTGTGTATACGACTTCAAGAAATTGTAATCTCTTCCCCAAATCAATGTGAAATTCCCATGTATGGGCTAATTGTAGAATATTTTCCCTTGTTTCATTTATGGTTGGTGTTTTCTCTCCTCTCTTGACAAAAGCAATTGAAGATGGTTTATTTATTCTGCGTGGTCGTTTCTTGACGTTCTTGGTCCACTGTCTGTGCAAACGCCTGTAGAACCTTGTCATGCCTCCACCTATACCGCCCTTGTGTTAAAGCCGTTTTACATCCTGACAATATATGGGAAAGTGTTCCCCTCGCACCACAAAGCTTACACAACAGATCTTCTTTCAGGCCATACAAACAAAGGCTGGTTGGTGTAGGTAGAGTATCAAATACTGATCGGAGCAAACACGAGATACGATATGGTTCCATTCTCCACACTTCTGCCCAAGTTAATCTTCTCTGCGGTAGCCTCCATTTCGTCCACTCCCGCTGTCCTCCCAGCTCCACTCCTCTAGACTTTCTAACTTCGTCTTCCCTCTCACGAGTCGCCTTTTGCACCATGTCTCGTTTTTCTTTAATGTTAGCTTTATTCCATTGCTGGAAATGGCTGGTTCCTAGACCCTGTCTGCCAATACAAGGGTTACCTATGTTATCTCTTAATTTTAAACTGGTCTCCGCATTCTCTACAACTTCCTCTGCCGACCACTTACGTCCTGTTTGTATTTCAATACCGGCTTTGCTAACCTTCCTGTCTTTAGAATTTACCAGCCTGCATTTTGCAAACTCCTCTACCACTGAAGAGTTTGGTAGTTGCAACTGCCCAGATCTAATATACAGGCCTATTGATGTAAAACTTGGTGGAATTCCCAGCCATTTCCGCAAATGTTTATTTATCCTCCCCTCCATTGCCTCAACCGTGGTAAAGGGCAGTTCATACAGAGTCAGAAGCCATATACGTTTAGGGAGCATCCCATACTGGTACACCCATACTTTGAATTTCCATGGTAATTCTGATTTCTGGATCCGCTTCAACCATTCTTCTGCTTGGTCGACCAGCTTGTGTATACTACCAATAACTGTAAGTGTCTGGTCAAACCACTTCCCCAAACACTTAATCGGATTATCCTCAATTGCAGGAACTGGCTCCCCTTGTATTTGTAATATTATTTGAATCTGTTGGTCAGTTTTTCCTTCTTGATCACCGAACCTCTTGACTTTTGTGGTTTAAATTTCATTCTTGCCCATGTTGTAGACTTACCCAGCTCTTCCAGCACCCATCTTGCTTGTACGTGGGTAGTAGTTGTCACTGTTAGATCGTCCATAAAACCTCTGATCGACAGTTGGCAAATTCCAGACTCCATTCTTGGACCCTTTGCTTTCTTCCCAGCTGCTAAAATAATTTGATTCATCCCCATAATGAAAAGTATCAGGGAGATTGTGCAGCCTGTAAATATCCCCTTTCCAAATTCTGCCAATGCGTTGTAAATCTTGCAGTGCTGAATCTGATCTTAACTCCTCCAAAGTAACTTTTGATCATGTTAATGATGTGGGCAGGAATGAAATAATGCTTTAGTGCTGCTTCAGTCAATTTGTGTGGAATGGATCCATATGCATTTGCCAGGTCCAGTAAAAACCACTGTTATATCACCTCGTTTAGACTTCACTTCATGGATCAACTGTGACAGGACACTTGTATGTTCCAGGCACCATGGAAAACCAGGTATACCACCTTTTTGAATAGACGTGTCAATGTATCCATTTTGTGTCAAATATGTTGTTAGTCTTCTTGCTAACACAGAGAAAAATATCTTTCCTTCAACGTTAAGCAATGATATTGTTCTAAATTGGCTAATCGTTACTGAATCTTTTTCCTTTTGAATGAGACATCCATTTGCCTCTTTCCATCTCATTGGTATGACTCCCTTTTTTTCACACTACCAGTAGTAATGTCCATAGCCGTCTTAATAGTTTTGGGCATTTCTTGTACACCTTGTAAGGAATGCCATTAGGGCCTGGAGCTGACTTCGCTCTTGCCTTCCTTACAATTTCCTGGACCTCTTTCCATGATGGTTGGTCCTCATTTAATTCCTTTTTAGGTCTCTCTATACTTGGTATTCTCAGATTTTCAACTAGGTCTTTGTCTCTATTCGCATCATTATGTGTTTCTCGAAGATACCCCTCTACCTCCTTTTTTGAACTACTTAATGTGCCATTTTTAGATTTGTCATCAGCGTTTGATACAATTGATCACGCTTTATTGCTGAACACTCTTTTGGCATTTCTGACAAAGCTTTCCATTTGCTGTACTCTTACCTTGATTATAGGTCTTTTCGTGTTAATGTTGGGTCGGAATTTTCCAACACATTCCCTTTGAAGTATGGCGTTCCGCAAGGTAGCGTACTTGGACCCCTTTTGTTTATCTGCTACACTTCTGGTCTTTCTAACATAATCACTAGACATG